GTTGAAATATACCGTTATGAATTCTGCAGTGTTTAACCTAAACCCCTGGATGTTGAACTGGCCCTTGTTGTGGAAAAGTTGAACTGGCCTATTTTTAAACTAGTAACCGAAATCCCATAATAAGTTACAAATGGTAGAGTATTTATAGTAATTTTCATAGAGTAAGATTGTATCACTAATTTTCCTTCATAGCATGTTTTTTGAATATATTCTGAACCTGTAACCCGTAATGGGGAAAATTCCGAACTGGTTTCAATCTTCCTCTTGGTGGATTGTCTAACCTTGTTCAACAATCCTGTCTATACTTCGTCAGTAAACAATCCCTGAAACGATAAAAATCTTGTCATTGTTAAAGTTTGAGTATATTTTCTCTGTAATGAATTTAAGCGCATCAGTGGTACCAATACCTTTCCTAAATCCAAACTGAGTTTCTGAGATTATCCTGTGTTTTGTTAGAATTTTAATATACCTCTTGTAAATTATTCTTTTAAGTAACTTAGCTATGTTTGATATAAGAGAGATCGGTCAATAGTTTGTACATTGTCACCGCTACTTTTTAATCTATACATCGAAGACGCGATCAACATCATTAAAGACAGTACAACTGTAGGAGTATATATACAGGGCCTTAGATTTGCAGATGATATAGCAGTATTAGCATCTAGCAAGGAGGACTTAGAGATAGCTTTAAATAAAATGGAAGCGGTACTGACAAAACAGTACTGTATGAAAATAAATAAAAGTAAAACTAAAATACTGGTATGCAAGGGAAGAAAAAGTAGGGAAAGAGCGAATATAAAGATAGAAGACGAGAAATTAGAAGAAGTGGCTGGTTTTAGATTTCTAGGACATCGCAGAATCGTGTCGCCTTTAATAAAAAGCAGTCACTTCTATGCTCACGAATGGTTAATTTAGAAATTCGAAAAAAGTTGTTAAAGGTGTATGTTTGGAGCACTGCGCCGTACGGGTGTGAAACATGGACAGTGGACGCGGCAGAAAAGAAAAGGTTAGAAGCTTTCAAAATGTTGTGTTATAGGCGAATGATGAGGATAACGTGGGTACAAAAGGTTAGAAATTAATAGGTATTAGAAAGAATAGGAGAACAGAGGAGTCTATGGAAGTCAATAAAAAATAGGCGAGATAGGTTGGTAGGACACTTTCTCAGACATGAAGGTCTAGTCAGAGACATATTAGAGGCAGAAACAGGAGTTAGGAGGGGTAGAGGTAGACCTAGGTTAGATTACTGTTTGCAAATTGTTAAGGATGTGGGTTGTTCTAGTTTTAGGGAAATGCGTAGATTAGCTGAGGATAGGAAAGAGTGGAGGTACGTGTCCAACGAGTCTTAGGACTGACGACTTTATGATGATGATGATGATACATTAACATACAATTACTACTTGTTTCGTAACAGGAACGATGATTAGTGTGTTTAGAGGTTTATCGTTGTATTATTTATTGTTATTAATAAAAAAATACCACTAGTATGATGATGATGATCTAGAACCTCTTTAAGATTATCCTTTGGTTTAATTTTATTAAACTGGCATATTCTTCTTTTTTGGGCGCATTTATTACTACATTCGTTAGCCTCTGTAATAGTTTTATTATTTGTTTCAGCTGAAGAGATTATTATGTTCTCTCAGTTTATCATTTTGTTTGATTAGTTCCCTGTAATTTTTTTTTTCCTAATTTAATTCTTTAGTATATATAATCTGGACACTTCACATTCAAAATTTTGTTGAGATTTGTATTTTTTACCTTTTTCAATGTAATTTGAAGTAACATTATCATCTTTTATATTACCACCTTACACTAGTTCAGTTTCAATATACTGTGTAGCATTTAAACCATTTTTTAATATTTTCAACGTTGTTGTAAGATTAGCAGTTTTTTATTCATTGTTTTCATAGCATGTTACCAGATGATTATACGTTACATTTAAATGTACAGGACAAACTTTTATGTGTCTTGAAACAAAATTTCAATTTCCATCTTTCACTCTACGCACAAACTCCAAATTACAACTTTCACACCTCTATTAGGATGACAAATTTGTTTATTATAATCAGGTGGAATATTTCCTGCGTCTATATCGGTCAACGACATAACGAAAACTATATGTTTATAAATGGAATATGACTACTTTATTGTAATATTGAAAGTGAATTATACAATTTTGAATTTGTCAACATTTTAACTATAGTTACATTAATAATTTAACAATATAATCATAATCTTAGCCTTATTAGATAATTAAGGAACGTAGAAATGACAGGGAACTATCACAGGGTGAGTGAAGTCTTTTCACCACCCTGCATCTTCGTGATGTTGAATTCGACTATCGACTTTCGACTTCTTCACTTGACTCGGCATGATTATAACTATAGTAGAATGAAGATATAATGATTATAACTATTGATTTCTCTAATTAAACGGTTGCTAATTGATCTAGTAGCAGAGTACGTAAGTAGGTTTTTAAAAAATTTTAAATTTAGACGTGGTAACATACAACATTCACAAAACTCTCATTAACTGGGAAATCCTGGGACTCCCACAGTGTTGCCAAGTAAACCTTCAGCATGGCTTGTAAGTAGAGACGGCTGTGGTTTTACTGTTGANGTAGACTACGGCTATTTAATTTAAAATTAGTAGGATTTTATTCTGAGAACCATTATATCATAGTAGGTACCTTTTACCCATACTTGTAAATGAAACAAAGAGTACCTTTTGTAACCACAATTTATTTAGGAAAGACAATATACCTAATGTTTTGTCAAGTTAATTAATATTTGAAATTTATAAGTGGTAAATTACAATTTAAAAAGGCCAGACTCTGTACTTTGTGAGGTAGCACTCTATTTATTTCTTCGTTGTAAATATTTCTTGCTTCCGAAAATAATCGTTCGCTGTACACAGAGCTAGCCGGAGAGGATAAGAAGATTGTGGCTAAAATAGGCATACGTTCATATTTACCTTGATTTTTTGCCCATCGTGTGAAAGGGTTCAAATGACGATATAATAAATTCTCTTTTTTTGTGATTCTAAAGCTGTTTGCCTTTTAATAGTCATATTTTCTTCAAAGATTGCTGGCTGTTTGGCGAAAATTAGCTCTTCATAAGAAATTCAAAAAGCTGAATGAGGATCATTGATTTCCACACTTGCCGAAATTCGTAATGATAGCCTTTCTTCTTATTTCCACTGCTGAAGCTCTCAAAAGCATCACTCATTTCTGATATGCTATGAATTTTTTCTCTAGAGAAGAATTTCAACTGGAATCTGGGATCTAACAATATGGCCAGAGTATTTATCTTCTTGAATGTTGACAAATCTGTGCTTTAGTTCTGTTTCTAACGTCTCTCGCATTTTATTAACGTTAGGAATGCTTGTTTAATGTCCGGCATGTGTAAATACTTTAGAAGTGTTGTAACGTGTGGTATTACTTCAGATATTGATGAAAAAGTGAAACTAGTGAGTTTCGTAATTTCTTCAAAATTTCTCATTTAGAACTTGCCACTGACGCTCTGTTAAATTTTGAAAATTTACTTAATCGCTGTTGTCAGAAATGTATGACACATCTCGTTTTTGTTTCAGAAGTGGTTGACACATATAAAATTTACTGTTCTGTATAGTGATAACGTCTTGCACTTATGTCTTATGTTTAGGTAAATTGAGCTCTTCTTGAATCTGAACCAATTTTTATTGCTTGTGTAGATTGACTGAATTGGGTCACAATTCTTATAGATGCGGTTGGAGCTTTCCTTACATCTTCCTAGACTTGTAAAGAGTTATTTACAGTCAGTTGCAATGTGGGTATATACATGCATTTCCAACGTATGGACTGTTGATTACTTTCTCTATGTTAGATTCATTGTCTCTATCACATGAGTAAGTTACTCAATTTGCCACTTATTTGTCATTCCTTCCAGGTAAGACTGAATGCTGAAATGAGGCATCTGCATCACTGCGTGCTGAATAGCTATGTTTTCATCTAGGCAGTGAGCAATGTAGCTTGTCATGTTGTTCATACATGCTCATACAAGTTCACACGTCCGCAATGATTTAAATTGATTTGGCCTTTAAGTTTATCTTTGACATCCGCTTTAACTTTGTCATAAAGACTGGGTATAATGAGTTCTGTCAGCCGACAGTCGCCCAGTGCTTCACCGACCTGTATAAACCTTTTTACTGCACAAAAATGAACCGAATAATTCGGGCGAATGTTCGGTTTGGTACATTTTGAACTGAATATTCGTATTCTGTTAATTTCACGCATCAGTAATATCTACCCATAGAGATATTAAGTGACGTAAACTCTCGACTATTGTTTGTTAATTCCACTTGCCATAGTGCTTTGTTGGCACCTAATATTGTAAAGCACTTCACGTTTTCATTCTTATTGCTATTTCTTCAAGAGTCGGAAGGTGTAAATGCTCTCTTTTTATGCAAGAGTTTAGATAGCGTGAATGCAAGCAGATCTTTAAAGTTTTATGAAACTTATATACCATTACTAATGAGTTTAAAAAATCAATAGACCTATTAACTTTATTTATTATTTTATCTTAGGCCTATACACAGTATTTAATACCATAAGAAGGTGTTTCGTTATACTGTGATTTTTGATCGTTACGTAACTAAAGTTGAGTGTTTTAATGGGTTTTACATATAATTTGTAAGAGTAGAGTTGTACAAATTAGATCAACTGAACGCGTTAATGGTATTAACTTATAAGGTAAAACCAGTTACATCAAGTATCATATTGATCTTAAACAAAAAGAAAGATCGAAATAATATCCAAATTTGCATAGTAGTAGCTATTAGAAAAGGCAAGAATGCATTATTTTAAATATCTAGAAATTAACAAAGCAGTCTTCAATTCCGAAGAACATATGGACAATATTCTGAAAATAAGTTCCTAAATGAAACAATAATACTTCTTATAAATAGCCATAGGTTGTGTGTTGCAACAAATTTAATGTGCAACTTAGTCTTTCAACTTTCAGATCGGCACACCGAATCATTGGAAGATGACGATCAGAGTTGGTTTCAAAATTCCCCATCTAATTCTAACAGAGGGCATACTTCTTCATACGGCCAATTTCCTATGCTTAATGGAACAAATGTGCATTTTGAAACACCTAAAGTGCCAGTTGTCTTTGTGTTGGGTAAGTTACTATCTCATTTAAAGCACATTCATAAAAATCCAATTAGAGCAAACAATAAGTACCTTAAATTTAAGGTTTAGTAAAATTTAATACTGAGTCGCGAAATTTAACTGTCTGTCATAAGTAAGCCTAAAAAAGACGCTAATGATAATAAATTCTAACAAATACTATTGCATTGACAAACGTTTCATCCCATGTCGGATCAATCACAATTGTAAATAAATATTTAAAAGAGATCTGCTTAATGCTACCAATAAATCTGATACTTTGATCTGTCATTACAAAATCCGTGAAGTTCAAACGATGCAATATTGTTTAGATTCGAAATATTGCGCGGAATGAACAGATCATTAATTGATCGGATAACAAATTATTCAATTGAGTAAAATATTTTATAGGTATTAATTCGTCTAAAGTTAATTTCAAACGTCACAATTGTTGAATAAGGACTTTTGCTCGAATAATAACGCGTGCTATAAGACCTAACGGATCGAATATTTTAGCAATAATTGAGAAAATGCTACGTTTACTGACCCTTTTGTAGAACCTTTGTTAAACGTAAATTTGAAACTATCGGTGTTCGTGTTTCATAAAAGACCTGGAGTTATAGTCTCCCCGTAATTATTCATATTGATAATAACGGAATGATTCAAATTCGTAGGAAGTAAATCGGGTATGTTTGAAGCCCATTTTAATATATGGAAACCGGCGCTATGTAAGACTGTCTATAAGTCCTGTTGTAATTCCTTTGCTTGTTCTAGCGTGTTAGTACCAGTTAAGCAATCATTAAATCAAAATTATCTTGGTTGCGCTAGGAAATTGTTTTTAATTGTCAGTTGCTACTTTTTGCAAACATTTGACTATGTAACTGTTGTAAGTCTAATTGCTTGAATTTTATTATTTTCATCGTTACGCCAAAAAATTCTTTTAAAATCCCTATTATCATGGTGTACGTAGATTTGCCGATTCATTTTACTAATGTCAGCTGCAAATGCGTATATGTACGGAATCTAAGAATAATGTCGAAAAAGAAAAGAGAAGGTCCTACTACAAGCTTTTTGTTTAAGCTAATGTTCGTAGTTGTTTTGACCGAACCGTCGAGGACAACTCTGTTTGGTGATTAAAAAACATGGCTTGGAAGATTAAATACGTCTTTAGATTTATACTGTCGATGTTTTTGGGAACCAATTCCTTATGATCTAAATTTAAGTAATCATTCATAAATTCGGAATATTGATTTTTTAAACTGCTGTTCTTAATTATCTTATTTTCTAACGAGTAAAATCTCTTTAAAACTAAAATTTAAGAAAAGATTTTCACTTTTGTTCTCTTCTAAGGTACGGTTATTAGGAACTGATATTTCTTCAACCTCCCAGAATTTCTTTAAATTAAATTGCAAGTCGTTGGTTAAAGCTGTATTATAATGAATTGACCCTTTAGGTAGGTTTGTGCTGTAAGTTCCTCCTAATACCCAACCTAACTGCGTTTTTTGAAGATATGAGTTATCTGGTATTTTAACTTGTTCTACACATAAAATTTCCCAGAACAGTTCTGTGCCAATTAACATATCTATAGGTTGTGAAACATTAAATTGTGGGTCTGCTAAAGTAATATATAATGGAACTGTTATACGCTTAAGATCAACTGAATATTGAGGAAGATTGTGGGTGATTTTAGGCAAAACTAAACATGATACGAAAGATGTGAATGATTTATAATGCGATTTTAATTTAAAGTTTACAATTTTATTAGCATGTAATTTTGATTGGCTTATACCGGTTGTAGGAACAGATAAATTTTTAGTTGTTAACCTAAGTTTGTTGCATAATGTTTCTGTTATGAAATTGGCTTGTGATTCTACATCTAATAATATTCTACAGGAATAAGCCCTAAGTGGAAAGTAAAACTGTCGTTCTGGTGGTTTGATGATATGTTAAATTTAAAACGGTTGGATTGCTACGCTTGTTTTGATAAGAAGTATTTGCTTCGTTTGAATTAATTACCTCCGTCTTATTATTTGACAGATTTACTAGATCAACATGCAACAGCATATTATGCCTTTTATTACATTTTATACAATTGCTTGCAATACCTGCTAAATGGTATTTTTTAGTAATTTTAAAACGATCCCAAACGGAACTATTGACGAATTGAGAACACTGAAAAATGTAATGAGCTTGTTTGTAAATGTAACATACAGGTTTTACTGAGACTGTATGTGCGAATGTGTTATGTTTGTGAACATTATCACGAGGCCTATTAATTTGTTGCTTGAATAGTGATGTTAGTTAGAGTGGAGTGCTTATTCCTTTCCAAAGAGGACATGACTTGACATCTTTGATTTATAAAGTCAATTATATCTTTTAATGTAGCAAGCTCCTTGGTGGCCCTTAATCCCTATTCCTTTCGGGTTTTAAAATCGAATTTACTAGTAATTAAATGAATTACCAAAAAAACCCAATGTCCAGTCTCTGTTTTAAAGACGTTAAGCGCTTTTAAATAAAACGTTACTTGAACAATTAATTGTTGAAGACAAATTGCGGACGGTTTAAGTAATGGTACGTCAAATAAAGCGGTTATGTGAGAAAACGCAATCAGTCGTTTATTTTCATGTCTATCTCTTAATAAATCCCAAGCAGCGTTATAACTATCATTAGAAGCACCTAAAGTAATAATAACATGCGAAGCGCTCAGTTAAAGAGATGATTCCAAATAATGATATTTTTGAATATTGGATATGTAACGGGTACAAGCTGGTATTGCTGGTTGTTGATGGCTCGTGAATAATGAACAATTTGATGTATAAACACACAAAAACCATTCGGCTCGAAGGACCATAAAATGTTGGATGAATATAATGATGCTGCGAGATATTCCCGATTATTATAAAAATAATCGCATTGTGATTTCTCGTTCGGAAATAACTGCACAGGTGTTTTTTATGAGTTTATTTACACTGTACAATATGGACACTATTTACAGGGTAACTGATGTTACGTAAATTAGTACATATGTAATATTGTTATGAATATATAAAAATTGTTAAAAATGATTAAAATGCTTGAAAAATGTAATGTATAAAAGCAGGTAACCTTCGGGTGACGCCCTAGGTCCCTTACTTTAACTTTATATTACTTGGGTACCTACGCACGTCAGGGTAGAGGTTGTTGCCTTTAAATTTTTCCAAGATGAGCCGTTCCAAGAACATTCTTTTTTTTATGTTTTCGTTTTCGGGAAATCTTCAAAAGACACCCAGCCGTCCGTACAACTGGGTAGTGTCGGAATATTTAGAACCTTAATAGCCTATTCTTAAATTTAAGCTTAAATGTAGCTACACGATAATAAGATAATAAACAAAACCTTAAACTAGAAAATGTCTTTAAGTACAGAACAAAACGAATATATAACTAAGTAAATGCCAACTCCAAACCAACGCCCTGGATCCAAAATAGACCGCGGGCGAATTTTTTACAGTGCACCGTTTTGGGTGGATCTGAATTGTAACAATGTAATGAATTATTTGGATTGCATTAAGATTATGTTATGGCAATATTTTAATAGATTTTATTTATAATATACAATCTATATATATTTTACGAGGTGAATTATTATTGTGTACTGACATAAACTCTATTTAACGAATTAAGTATTATGTCATGACAATAAAAATTAATTAAACATTTGCCATAGCATAATAAAATATAATTCTTTCTATTAATTACAAAACGACTTAGCGTACAATAGCTTTTTACCTTGAAATTAAATTAAGTGAGTACTTATTTTGATATTGTACTGGTATTGCAGAGGCATGAATGATAAGCTAATTGTTTTTAAATTTTATGTTTTGCAGACGCCTATATATATACATTACTTTATGTAACTTACTAAATGTTTATTAGCACTTTATTTAAATAACATGTTCGCACCTTATTGTGAACTACCCGCTGTTAGTATCATTTAATATACTTTAGTATTATTATGCTTGTATTTTTGTAATTTTTGACTTTTCATTCAAGGAGGTCCAGGATCGGGAAAGGTAACACATTGCGATAATTTGGCACAAGATGAACATAGAATCGTACACATTAATATGACTGATCTTCTACAGCAGTATACGATTGGTAATGGTGAGTACAGTTATTGCTTCAAACACATACTCATTAAAGTGTGTATAGATTTACATAAAACAGAATGAAATAATTTCTACTATTCTTTTGTTCCATTAATATACTTTAAATTTACTTTCTAGAATACACAATTTTATATTAATTTATTATGCTTTTAATTCATCAGCAGTTTTTTGAATAATGTGGTCTTATTGTTTCTTAAGCAAAACTCTAGAATTTAGTCTAAAAAAACTTTTATTCGCCTGCAATTAGTCCTAAATTAAATGCATATTTCACTTAATTTTTCAAATATTAATCCAGTCTTTAAACTTCGATCTAAACTACACATGCTGTCTTACTTTCCTTTTTCAAAAGCACGATTAGTTTAAGTATTGTAGATTTAGCTCTTCAGTATAAAAAAAAATATTTTTGTAGTTAAGTTGTTTTAATAGATCTTAGCGTCAGGAACAATATTGTGAAAAATCCCATACTACATGCGGGGTGTGATTGATCACAAAAAGTTTACTTCATATAATAAGTAGGAAGCTCCATACAAACTGATCAATGTGACCCTAGTCTGTTTCGTACTTACGGTTTAAAAGTTATACAAGTACATGGATTTGTAGATTTAGAAAAAGCTTTTGACAATGCTAAATGAGACAAGATGTTAAATATACTTAAAAATGTAAGGATGAGTTACAAAGATAGAAGAGTGATACTTAGTTTGTATAAAAAGCAACAGGCAGTTATAGAGATGGGGCTGCAACGTAAAGAATTAAATATTAGGAAGGGAGTTAAACAGGGATGCACACTGTTAAAACTACTTATTAATCTATACATCGAAGACGCGATTAACATCATTAAAGACAGTACAACTGTAGGGATAACGCCGACGGAATTAGTTGTCACGTATAAGGTGAAGTTACCGCAAGCTTCACTCCTTACATGTTACTTAAAGATTCCTTTAGAACCACAATCGTACCGATTTGAGTAGCATTGAAAAGTTGCAATATTTAAAATCCGCTGTAATTGACAAAACCGCTAACAAAATTAAGGTTTTAGCAATAAACGGTCAAAACTGCGAACGCGCTTGGAATTTGCTCGAGAATGCGTATGCGGATGAGAGGATGCTAGTCTCCCATCATTTAAATTTACTTTTTAATTTACCCATATAACATAAGGAAACAGCTGAAGGTCTAACAGCTCATTTTTATAAAGTTGTGTAACAAAAGAACAAAATCGCGATACAGTTTATTAATTTACATAGAAACACAACTGAAAAGAGGGAGGAATCTCTTCCTTGCGGTAAGTAGTATAGTAAGTAAGCAAAATGAACGCGTTTCTTTATAAAACCGCCATGCGTTTGCGGAAACGGAGGAAGCTGCTCCACCTTCCGGCTCCTTCGAAGTGATTTATGTACAAATAAATATATGTGCTATTTTAATAACAAGGATAAAACTAAGAAATAAATTAATTAACTCGGTACAACTACAATCTCTACTTTTTCCCCTCCGTGTGTTCTTTCGCAGAATAAAGACACCTGAACCTTCGAAAGTAACTTTATTGTTTATCTGACATAAGAAAGGATTTATTGGCGAGCAGAGAGGGAGGAGAGCCTGCATGAATTATAATTACACTGAGTTAAAATGCTCCGGTTGGAATACGCAAAACGATGTGCAATTGGCACTTATTTATTGAATACAACAATGCTAATAAATTTTGTTTAAGAATGTCTTGCATATTCGTACTGGAGCATCTGATGAAACTAAAATATCGCATATAAGTGTTTAACAGAAGAAGAAAATGTACTACTATGAAAATTATAGTTCGCTTCTGTACAGCGTGGGAAATATCTACATGTGGTCCAATATTCGCTGCAAGGGTTGGCAAAAACCCATAAAAACCCAACCAGACCACTAAGAACTCTTATAACCTCAAAGACAATAGGCAAGCTATCTGTACAGGTAAAAATTGTCCCGCGTGCCAGGAAGGACAGTATTTGCTATATAAATTCAATAAATTTCGTGGCATGGCAGTGGTCAAAAGAATTAAGATCGTTAAAGAGGCCATACTATGCATTAATTACCTCCGAATGCACAGCAAACGTACGTGTAAGTTCGACAATTGTGTAATTTGAGATCGACTATACGAGAATATGAACAGCCAAAATCAAAATTGACAAATTTTTTAACTCCAATTTACTTACAATCTGTCCTTGTAGGACAATAAGCAAATTTAATATTACAAATAGATATAAAAATAGAATAATGTACAGAGGTCAAATAATATCGTCGTGTTGTCTATTTCCTGTTTAAATACATTCCAATCGGCATTTTTATTAATGATTGGATTGGAAGTCTGAACATTATAAAAGTGCTTAAATACGTTTAGAATTATAGGTGAATGGTCGGACGAAAGGTCAAAGCATGACTGTTTTGAAATAATTATTATTGATACCTCCGATGACTACAAAATCTATCAAGTCGGGTATCTTGTTTCTATTTGTAGGCCAGTAAGTGGGTTCCCGAGTAGATATTACCGAAAAATTTTCTTTCATTATCGTAGCATAAAGATTGTGCCCTTTTGGATTTGGTGTATTTAGCCCAGACCCTTACCATGGGTGTTTAGCATTATAGTCACCTACGGCAATGAATCTGTTGCCTAATGTTTTAAAAAATTCAGTAAACATTTCTTGACTGATGTTGTATTTGGGGGGGCCTATATCGAAGCAACTGCCAGCGGTCCTTGCTGGTCCTCGATTACTATGCTGGTCGCCTGAAGATATTTTTCTCGAAAGTTATCCATTTCGTGGTGCTGAATTGTTGTTTTCATTATTATTACCGTGCCACCGTGTGTTTTATTTCCAGTTAAATTAGTAAAATAAACCTTGTAATTTTGTATTTTTTAAAAATTTTTACTAGTGAAATGAGTTTCAGAAATAAGCATTAACTCTATATCTTGTTCCGTCAAAAAAGCTTTCAATTCATGAAATCTTTGTGCAAAACGTTTGAATTCCACGCTGCTATTTTAAGCGGCATTTTGATTTTTGTTAGCGTTGTTGTCCAATAACGTAGTTATTAGGTTTATAAACGAATCTTTACGAGTCATTATTTGAGAGTTTATCTATACGACGGGCAATACTTGTGCTCTCTGTTTTGTTTTGAATTGACTGTATGCTTACGTTGCCGTCTGTCTCACCTTTGGAGCCGATGACTTAAGAGTAAGTGAAACCTGGAGTAATGTATGTGTTGTTGATGCTGCTGCTGTTGATTCGTTCGTAATTTTGGTCTCAACGACGGGAACATTTTTTGTTGAAGTTTCTTGCGCGCAGGACAGCTTTTATAACTCGCGGGGTGATTATCACCGCAATTTGCACAGACCACTTCTTTTATTTTTCACTCGAAAGGGCACTCTTTCGTGTCGTAATATTTCACACATTTTACACATACTGGCACTTTGAAACAATACTTCTGCATGTGTTTGAACTCTTGACACCTCTAACATTGAGGAATGTCTCTCTTTTTATACGGGGATTGAAAGCTAACAACACAGTGCATTAGTCTATTAAGTTTAAATATGTCTTTGTCGTTCTCATTTACAACCAAGTCTATATAAAATAGAGGTGTTGAGCTGGAGTCTTTGCACCGTTTAATATTTAAAATCCTCAGCACATGGTGACCGAAGCTTTCGATTTCTTTTTTAAGAGCATCCACATCAACAGAGTGATGCATGTTTCTAAGCACAACCTTAAAAGGTTTTTCTTGCTTTCTTTGGTATGTGAAAAATTCGTTTTTTTACTTTTTAATCTTTATTATTACCCACTGTGATCCACCCATGTTTCGATTGACTCGGGGTTTGCGGGGCCTCGTTAGCGTTGAATATTTTGCCGCGTTGACTACGCCTGTATCGACTTCACGCGCGCGCTCTCACGGCTTTTCGATTGGTTGTCGTGCTGTTAAGAAAACATACACACGTCTGAACAGCATGGTTACAGAGCGACGACAAAATTGGAACAAACCTCTTTATCTTTAAGAACGTTATAAGTTAACTGATAACGACAGTGGTAGTACGTGTGTTTACTAGCGAATACGAGTTATTAACAGCATATCTTTTACTTAGTATTTGCTCAACAGCTAATTTCATCTCTGAAAAGTTACTAAATAAACTAGAATTACAGAAAAAACAATGTTCTGTTCCTGTTGGAGCTTTAGATAATCTAACCACGAACACGAAGTACTTAGTTTCCCTAAAAATAAGCTCATTACGCAACGATTTTTAAAAAACGTTTGTCTTTCTTTCTGTTCCAAATAGCCATGAAGTACTTTTAAATTTGTTTTCAAACTCGTCTGATCCATTCACGAGTGGCTATCGGAGAGATTTCCAAAACAACACTAAGATACTTCCAATATGCTTTATCTGTTTTTTTATGGGTGGTTCGCCAAAAGCTCTATCCTGCTATTGCAAAACATTGGTGAACACGCACACGTACACATATATATTCCAAAAATTGTTTGAAATTCGAATTCGCTAAAGGGCAAGCTTCGAAGCGTCTTCCAAACTAATTGTATAAATTAAAATTAAGATACTTTTTTAGTGTCTTCTGGTGGATATTAAATAAGAAACCAAGAAAACACCAACAATAACAAATAACAATTTATAACAATAACAAACGAAAACACAAGTTAATCTACTGTTCTTTTGGCCAAGCATCGCTTCTAGTGCACTTAACATGCGAGCTTTGGCCGCGGTTGGATTAGCCATTGTCACACAAAATAACAAACAAAAAAGTTTTATCTGAGCGATTGTTTTTGTTTCAGCTTGAACGCACTTTTTCACACGAAAATATGCATCACGTCGGGGTCACCACTTTAGTGTCTTCTGGTGGACATTAATTAAATACCAAGAAAATACTAACAATAAAAAATAACAATTTATAACAATAACAAACGAAAACACAAGTAACAAAAAGACACAAGGAGTGAAACATACAAACGAGAATAAAGTGACAAAAAGAAAAAGATAATACAACAATAACAATAACAAAGACAACAACATTAAAAATGAAACAGATAAGAGGCACTTACGAACGGTAGTAGAAGTAGACGGGAGACTGTGTCAGGATATTTTATTTTTTTTTTTTTTATTTTCGTGGAGGAGAGGAAATCTTCAAAAGACACCCGGCCGCCCGCGCGACCGGGTAGTGTCGGATTCATCCCGGAGGACGCCTACCGACTAAAACCTCTCCCCCTCAGGCCGTTCTAGGGCCGCTAGGCCCTCTTCAGCCGCATGGTTTATTTGTTCCTTTGTTTAATACTTGATGAGTTGGGCGAGTGTGTGTTGAAGCAGAATGTCCATTGGTGTACTAGCCTTTTCTAGTTGGTTTGCTAGCCTTATTATTGCTGTTTTAATTTTCTGTAGGTCGATTTTCCCAAGGATGTTCGTGGTCGTTGTCTCTTTGTCGATAGGGTCTTGTTGTCTTCGTAAAGTGGCTCTGGCGTAGGACAGATCTTGTCTAACTGCGTTTCGGTTGTCGGTGGGTCGTTGTCGTTCTTCGGTTGTCGGTGAGGGTTTGGCTTTTTTCCCTTCGTGAAAGCAGGGCAGCCACGATAACTGGCGGGATGATCCCTTTTGCAGTTCCTGCATACGGCCTTTTCCTCTTTTGGTTTCACGCAGTCTTCTGTTCTGTGAAGTTCTGCACACTTCACGCATCTTGGTGCCATTTTGCAGTGGCGTTGGGTGTGTCCCAAGCGCTGACATCGGTGACATTGAGTTGGTCCTCTAGGTTTCCTGTACTTTTCGGTTTTAACTCGTAGTTCGCAGCAAATTGTGATACTCTTGATTGTCTCTTCGTCGCTTCTCTTGTAGGTGATGATCAGTACTAGAGGGATGGCCTTGGAGCGAGATTTCATTCGGTGTACCGTGCAGTCGTGTATTCCTTTGTTCCCATCGTTGGTGGTGAGTGTTGTAGGGATTCCCTTTATGACATATTTTATTGGTCGGCTTGCTTCATTGGCGAAGGTGTAGTACACGGTGTCGGTGCTCTGCAGGTAGTTAATTGTTCATTGTTGGCTGGTTAAGCCTTAATAAAGGCTATTTGTATATCACTCGATTTTGAGTAGAGGCTGTCGGCTCTGGTGTCTTGTGTTGATGTTACGTCTGCTACTTCTCGCTGCTCTCGACGTCAGGATATTAATTTTTGAGAGTATTTATAGGACAGGGTTGTTAGTAAATTTGATAGAATGTTCTAGAAGGAAAGGTAGTGAGAGTGAAGACACTACGTTATAGGAATATTTAGAATTAAGCAGTATAGAATTCAAGAGAAAGCATTTAAGGGTAGACCAGATATTATTATGGGAATGCATGCAGGTATGATTGAAGTTGGATTTCCAGGTAAAAGTGATTGAGAGAACAATAGAGTTTAGATTGAAAGGAAACCAAAGTATGTACAAGATAAGAAATTGAAATGAATTGAAATAATATTTGAAATGAAATGAATTTGAAGTAAAATAATGAAAAAGAATGCTTAAGAAATATCTACAAAAAATATATACAATTGTCCGCCACAGATTACTGTTCACAAATAGTTAAGGATGTTGGATGTTCTAGTTTCAGGGAAATGCGAAAATTTGCTAAGGATAGGAAAAAGTGGAGGTGCGTGTCCAACCAGTCTTGGGTCTGACGACCTTATCACGATGATGACTAGATGTTTAATACTACGAAAAGAGNATTTGATGAAATAGTAGCGATATTGTTTTAAAATTATGCCTTAAAAATTGTCTGATCATAAAATCATCTTGGTCATAAGACAACGACGTCTCGGTTTATTACAAAAATGCGGTTGATAACTAAATACTGCTGTGGGTACTCTACCGCATTTGTAGGAAATGAAATAAATGTACGATATATGTGGTAACATTTGCACTTAGTTGTGCGACCTAACTTACAGAGGCATAAGTGCATGTTGCATTTGTCCTCCTAGGATTAACATAACTTAAATGTATAAAATTATTAATTTATAATCCACTTTCATCAACAATTTATAACTGAGTATTTTCAATGTAAATTCCTTAGTAAATCATGACTGATTTTGTAAATAGGTACACACATTTTGTTTCAATAGGTAGGTATCGCTGAATTTTGGTACAATCGATAGTATTCATATAATCTACACCCTGCAGCTTTGCAGTTTGCCAGAGTCGGAGTTAAAACTATTGTAACTTCTTCATATCTTTTTTTTTTTTTTCAAAATAATGTTTTAACATTTTTTGTTCCAAAGGCCATTAGGAACATGTGCTCTAAATATTATTGATTATAAACGCTATCTTACCTTACATAAGGACACCTATTATAACGAAAGTTATAAAAACTTGCTTTCAAACGTATTTTTTTTATATTTACCTAACCATGCAAATACTATCCAGCTTTTTGCTGATTAGCTCCATTCAGAACAATATTTTTGAAGATAAATAGTATGATCGAATTGTTGCTGCAGGATTTTTTTGTTTCGTCTAAATAACTGTTTATTACTTTTATCAATTACATATATCGGACTAAATCACTATTTTTTTTTATAAGTATCCCGATTTTCTGGTTCGTTAACTTTAAAACGTTAGCGAAGTTTTATGTGCAGTGCTTTATGAATTATACCTAATTATATAGAAGCTATCAAATTGTTCAATAAATTAGGGCTTCTCTACATTCTTTAGTTTTAAGTATATAGTATACGTAGTCCTAAGCACAGGCATTTACATTGCAACGAACAAGCTCCTCTGTGTGTGGAATAATACTTATTCTTACATTTTTGAATACCAAAAATCAAACTGGGAAAACAATTCCCTTAATTTTAACTCGGGTGCCACTTTGCCAAGCAAACAATTACAAAATATAAAAGTTAAGAACAATATATTAACAAAACAAGTACACAATTTTAACAAGAAGCAAACCCAAAACAATTCAAAATCCAAAATAAAAAACAAAGCACTTCCCGTAGAGTCACATCTACAGGGGATTTGACCACTGACTTAAAACAAGAAAACCAAATCAAATATTTGACAACAATCCACTCGAGGTAACTGAACCAGGCTGAACAGGTTAAGTGATCAAATAGCTTCCGAAAAGGGCTGGATATCAATTCTTTATCTCAACTCTGCGAGGAAGAAAGTCAAAACATAAAATAATACCTTATTCGTTGGTTAAACAAAAACAAAATACAAAACAACTACAAAAATTAGAAAACCCAGTTAGGTACATACAAAAACCTAAAAATTAGAATATAACACAAAATTTGGGAAAAAGGCATAAGAAAAAAAACGAAATGTTATATTACCGTTAGTTATTAATAAAAGTCTTACGATTAGTCACAAGTTTAACCAAACTGGTTCAGGTATTAAAATGGCAAAAATTGATAATCAGGTTGCACGATTTGCACAACCTTTAAACACTCAAAAAACCAAACTACTTATCTGGGGTGGATCCCACAACCAAAATTCCTCACTAGGACAACCGTGCCTTTCACTAACAGCACCAGAGGTTGCAATTAAGGGTGCAAGTTCTCAATATTTTAACGGAAAACCAGTCAGGCTAGTCCAGACCAAGTAAAGTCATCGTAAAAAAAGCAGGAGAAGTCCTCCATGTGTGCTCTCGAGCACCAAAGGAACGGGAAATGGATGCTATGGATCTTCTAAAGGCACAACGGACTTAAGCAGGCCTCAAAATTCGGTAGAAAGTGATTAAAAATCACCTTCTACGTAAAACCTTTTCAAACTCTTTAAACACCAAGAGCAACAGTTGTTCAAATAAACATTGCACCTGATGTAACAATAACTCAAAAAACTCTTTCATCAAAATAAAATCCTACAATAGAGCGTTGTCTCAGGGCACGGCTAACGGATATAAGCCCTCTATGGCCATCAAAGGGAGAGTCCGCAAAATTTCCGCATAGAAACTAGAAAATCTTTTCGAACGTTCGATTATCACGCTCCCAACGGCGTGGACTCATCATGATTCATGTTTGTGATTACGCAGGCGAAAATCAGACCAAGCGAATATATAAAAAACCAACCTTAAAACGATAGAAATGATGATAGAAAGAGAAATAAAAAGAAAACGTTACAACATATATCTTTATTTTTAACCTACATTATATGTAATTACTGGTTTAATTAAATAAATAAATAGCAGGTCTGCGCATACACCTGCTTTTTCTTAATTAAATTCATTTATTACAAAATTAAACATTGGATCAAAGCTTCACATTTTTTAGATATGCAAGACTTTTGTCAACTATCCAGTATTACTGTCACAGAGGTACTGATGTTAGAGATGAAAATGGCTCCAAACTCAAAAGGATACTTAGTATCTGGTTACCCAAGAAATATGAGAGATGTTGTTGAATACTCCGATAAGGTAAGAAATTCATAAATTATTGAAAAACAAAAATAACTTATAAAGAACATATTTTAAATTATAGCGTCTTAAAATTATTATGTACTTCGACGTCACATAACGCATTTACTGTCAAGATGGTTTATCTTGAAACGACTGTCTCAGACCTCTATAAAACAAATTAAATCTAATAGATATTTGTAAGTCACTAAGATCCACAGAACATATTATATTTTAACAATTATAAGTTAGACAATAAAATAGTAATTGTTTGTGCAAGTATTAAATATCATACTTTATTATTAAGACGAAAAATAAAGAATCAGTAGGACTTTTAATAACTTAATATTGAACGTGGTTTATTCGAATAAAAATTATCTAACCAAGGAAACCTAAACTTACAATAATTTTAGTAAAGGATACTTATCTACAAAATCAATTGTCATATCCAGTTGCAATGAAACTTACATAGGTATAGGTAAACGTAAAATCTGCTGCAATTATCATGGAATAAATAGTATCCTTTCATTGCAACAATATTGATTTACTAGTACTAAACACCTATTGTCAAAATTCTGCCTATTATTCTTGATATTGACATTCCTCATTGTCAAGGTTACAATGAACCAATTACTGTGCATGCATAAATAAAGGTAATATGCAACAGTTGCATTCTGTTCTATATTTGCATAAAAATTTAGCTAAATTCGCCATTAATGATAAAACCATGATCAATACATACATCCTTTCGTTAAAATATATATATTTTGTGGAGTGTAGTACTGTATATAATGATGGGCGAATGCGAGTGAACAACTGGTTAGTCGGATTTTGAAATAACCTGCATCACATGATGATTGCGTTCAAGTTCAAGTGAAAAAACTTGATAAGTATGTATATGAAACCATCAATCATACCCGTAATTCGTAAGTTATTATGAATTACTCTAGCAGCTCCCGTCTCGGGAACGCTCGATTACAATTGGTACTGATTCTGGACCATTGCTGTGAAAGTTATATAATGCTTTATTAAAACCTTAAATCATATATATAAATATTTAAACAAGAAAAACTAACCTTCCGTCGTTGATTATGTAAGACTATCTATTACCTCTCACTACAAAAAATAACAAAAAAATTAAAAAAAATCCCATATTTCTAAAAGTTACACTAATAACAAAAACAAAAATGCAAATCATACTTTCATCATCTAAAGAAAAAAATAAATTAACTTTTTTTTCAAATCCCCCTTATTAACTACCATCCCTTACCCTTTTTCTTTCCTTTAAATTTGTTTTTAATATTTTCAGCACTCTACAATTTTCATTGATCAATTCGCTGCATTCTTCCCTTACATTGTCTTTTACACCTTCTTCTAACACATGTCTTAACATCTCGCTCTCTTTTCTACATATTCTGCATTTTCTTTTCTGTTCTTTCATCCAGTACTTACTTTCATTACATTCATTTCCCATTTTAAATCTCGCAATTACCGGTATATCCTTTCCGTCTCTCAAATATTCCGGTAATAAGTCCACTTGTCACTCATCCCACAGAAATTTTTTCAACTCTCGCATATTTCGACTTCTGTATACTCCCTAAGATTTCCCCTCTTGTTATTTTGTAACTCCTTTTATTTACCATGTTTCCTATATCCATTCTTTCTCTTCTCGACTCATTTAGTTGCTCCTGACTTATCATTATCTCTCTTATGGTTTTCTCTCTCTCCTTATCATTTTTGTTTTCCAAAGGAATTCTCAATACTTTTTTTTCTCTTATATCTTCTTCCTGCAGTCCTCTCATTTTTTTTTGTATCTTACTACTCTTCTTGTTTCTTCTACCACCTTTTTGATTCTATGTTTAAAATGCATTTTATGTATATTTATTTATTTCCATTACTTTCTAAAACTTCCCATCCACATATTTCTACCCCATACAATAGTACACTTTTCGTTACCCAAGATAGTAAAATTTTTTAATTCGCTCGATTATTTTTCCTTTCTATCTTATCTCCTTTTTGTCTTTCCTACTTCTTCCTCTTACTTCTCCAAATTCCATTATTTTTGTTTTTTCAATACTAATCTCTAAACTTTTTTCTTCAGGTATTTTTCTAGCACTCTTACCATCTCCTTTAAGGCCTCCATACTCGTTGCTAATAATACTATATCATCTGCATATGATAGCGTCCATCTTTCTTCTTCCTACGACTAATCCTCCTTCACTTACCTTTTTCATTGTTTCTTCTAAATCACTATATAAATTGAAAACTGTTGCACTTAATTTACATCCTTGTCTGACTCCTCTTCCCATCAAGAATTATCTAGTCTCTTTATTGCTTACCTTTAGTTCCATAATTTTCTCTGTTATCTCTTTCTCTATCTGTTTTAAACATCCTTATTATTTCCATTCCATCAACTGAGTCAAACGCTGTTTTCAAATCTACGAACATTGCATAGACATTCTTCTTTCTATCTAAATATGATTGTATTGCGTTCTTAATATATAAATAGCATCTATTGTTTACCTTCTCTCTGTAAATCCACACTACGTTTCGTTTAGTACTTTATTTTCCTCTGTAGTTCATTTTCTTTCCAAATTTTACTTATTTCAAACATTTTTTCCTATTATATTTGCTGTGTATATCCAAGCTTACCCCGGGATTCCATCCTGTCCTGCTGCATTTTTTGGCTAATGCTTGTATTCCCACTGTAAGTTCCTCCATCTGTATCGCCTCTTCTTTTTCAATCTCATTATCTTCCTCTACCTCGAATTGCACCTCTAGTCTTTCTTTACTTCCTCCAAACACATTTTTAAAATGCTTGTACCATGTCTGACCCTGTCATTTCTTTTATTTGGAAGCTATCAATTTCTCTTCTGGCTCTCCCATTTATTAAAGCATAATATGCACATCCCATTTCTTACACACTAATACTCAAAATTTCTTCCCTCCCTACTTATGAATACATCTCTTGAATTCCTTTTTTCATTTTTGTCAAATACTGTTATTCCCTCCTCTCTACCCATTCTAATGTTGAAGTCACCTATTACTAATATACTTTAATCTTTATATAATTCAATTAGCTCCTTTATTTTTTCAAGTTTATTGTTTTCCTTTTCATTCAAATATATTATATATGTTATTAGCCATTTTCCGTTTTTCCTATTATTATTCTATTCTTACTATTTATTTATCAATTTCCTTCACCTTTTCTCTTATTCCTTTTTCTATCCCTATCAACATTCCCCATTTGCCCTTCCCCTCTTTCCTACTCTCTCCGCACTATAATTGCTCCATTTATACTTACAGTTAAACATTTTTTCATATTTATTAATGTCCTCATTTTCTTCTCATGCTTCACTGATTATGATTATATCTTACCCCTTTCATCCGTCTCAAAACCCTTTTCCTTGTTTTTAATCCCAGCCACATTCCAGTCAATCGCTTTCATCTCCTTATTTTTGCCATATGCGTAGATATCCGTCCGCCATGCTCTTCTTACCATAAAATGACCCAACCTCCTCTTCCGTCCAGATGCATATTTTCCCTCCTATATTATCCTTCTTGTACCTTATTTTAATATTCACCTCTGGATCTTTTTCTTTTTCTTTTGCTCTCTATGTTTTAATTATTTTTTGTCGTTATTTGTTGAATAATAATTGAAAGTAGCCAGTTGTTGAAAAAATCGGTTATGCCCATCACTACATTGTTATTGAGGTTTATTAACCAATAAATAATGACTCCACGATCACTCAGTTATACTATTATTCTAATACAAGTTATCATCAAATAATATAATTAATTAAATCTTCCTATACAGATTCAAAAGCTGACAGGAGTAGTTTTGATAGCATGGAGAGAAAAGGTTTTGGAAAGACAAATTAACTATGGTGCTAAATTGGGTCAAATAGTAATGTCCTTGGCTCGAATGGAATTAAAGAACTTCTTCAAAAACGTAATCCCTGTTGCTGAGTATTTTGACCATAGCGACTTTTTGGTAACGGTAAGAATTGGTATTAAATAATTTATTTCGACGATAAACATTTAATTTAATAAGTGAGGCGCTGTATGCTTTTAGATTTAAATTCCTATAACGGCTTAGAATGAAGAAACTTAAAAGTTTACAATTTAATTTGATAACAAACAGCTTTACATATTGTTTCATCTGAGGAACAAGCTGAAGATGTTTCTGCGATGTGAAGCTCCATTGCAAATAAATTGTACAATTTTTGTTATTACACACAAATTAATTTGACGTAACTAGTATTTCATATCGCGATTGCCGTTAGGAAATAGAGTTTGTTGGATATTTTATTTCTACAATGAAGACAGGCGATACTGTTTAAGTTAAGATTAATTAAAATATAAAAGATAAAAGTACAAAAAGAAAAGATGTGTCGCAGACAAAGCAAAGTTTGATGGCTAGTTAAATGAAACAAAGTTAAGCCTACAGAAACTTTCCTCCGATCTACCCCCTAGCCTATAAAATTTAAGCTTATCCTAACTGAAACATTCTAATGGTCCAATAACAACAAACCGTATAATTAACCGTCAAACTGTTCTGCATTGTCGACTGAAATGTTAACCTGTTTCTTTAAATTACCGAGCAAATTATTTATCACTAACTGTGATGCCAGTAGTCCGTCATTTACATATAAGGCCAAATAGACAACTTCGTCATTATCTTTTCTCATATTCTTTTCCGAGAAAAACGTACCTACTCATCACAAGTCGCACTTTACACGTAGGCCCCTTGGATATTTTTTCCTATTTAATGCATTAAGCACTTGTGTCATCGCGGTTTTCCACTTATTCGCAACTTAGCACTTAATCGCAGTAACAACACTGCTCCATAGTAGTCTGCACGTTATATTGTACGTCTGTCGCGAAGGTGATGGACATTTTCAGGAAGTTGTGACCTTCTACTTCTTCTTCGTCTTGTACAACTTTATCGTCTTCCTTGGTTTCTGGTTAAAGTTGTGCTTCAAGTTGAACTTGAGCTTCTCCAGGATGAAATAGAATCATAATTCAACGGGTGCTTTTTGTTGAAATCCACCTCAGTTTTCCATTATCGAATGCGACATTTGAGTTTGTTTACCCAAACTACACGCTTCAGAAGAAGTTTCTTCGTGGTCGACAACTTTTAGTTCACGAGAATGTCTCCTTTCTTCGCTTCATTATTAACTTCAAAATTTTTATACCCCAATCGACTGTGCCATAGTTTTAGTGTTTCACTTTGCGCTTCTTAACAACTGTGAGTCAATTTCACTCGAAACTTCATTATCCAGAAGTTATATTTTTACGTACGCTTGCGCATGATAGTTTGCCGGCACTGCATTTAAATTCACAACGGGTGATATTTCGCCTTCGCTGGTAGTCAATCGTGTTTCTTTTTTGAGTAACAGAGTTCCATACTGTCCGGAACGAATTATATTTTGCCGGCAGGCTGTTTATAATTTTCGAAGTATAGCACTATCACTCATTGTTTCATTTATGTTCCTTAATTGTTTTATTAGCGATTCGATTTTCGAGATGCGGGGAATTATGCTGTCTTCCCGCGATAACTCGGGGGCTTCTGCTCAAGGACAGCTAATAATTTCTTCCAGATTTGACCAGTAGTTATGCAATTTACCAAGCACTAGATTCTGTCTTGTACAATCATTGTGTTAATCAATTTAGTAACTCAAAACACAAACACCCAGGACTCATAACCAGTTGGATATTTTGCTTTTACACTGAAGGTGTTTACGTTAAGTTTAATTAAAATATAAAAAAGTATAAAAAGAGAAGATGTGTCGCAGAAAAATGGAACATGATGACTGGTTAAATGAAACAAAGTTATTCCTACATAATCTATCCCCCCATCTACCCCTTAGCCAATAGAATTTAAAATTATCCTAACCGAAACATTCAAATGGTCCAATAACATTAAACCTTATCATTACTCTAAAAGGTCTGACCGTTCGCATGTATGTAATGTGTTCCATCCGGGATCACTCTAATAATTTACTAATCTAGTCTACCATTGTCATCTTCGAACTGTCCTTTAAACAAAAGGCAAAAATGGTTGCGGCCGCAGAAGGAGCAGATACAGGCATGGCAGTAATTGGCCGTATGAAAGAATTTCATACAACGGCGACTTTGATGTTAAAATCGCAGAGCTTGCCAAGTTCGAAGATTGACTTGGACTTAGGGGAATACTTGTCGAGACGGACGGATTATTGATATTCGATGAAGAGACTGTATATCGTCTGTGAAAATAGCTTCGCAGACTCCACGTAGGACGACTTAAAGGTCTCTGTCTTGTTGAAGTTGATTGGTTGAGAACTCAACCTTGAATTCGTCGAGGTATGACGATAGACGACGAAAATCGTCTACGGAGTTGGGGTAGACTCTGATCGAGTCTTGGGTGTTAATGGCCCTACGAGTGGTAATACCATGGCTGTCTATGAGTCTACGGATTTTTGACCAAAGGGACTTTTGTTAGATAACAATGAGTGAAGGAGCTTCAGAGCCCTGACACGGTTGCTTCGTTTCCTACTCAGTCTCAGTGGACGTTGACGAAGATAATGATAGGAAGGGTGTTCGTCTCCGGTATTTGTTGCGACGCTTCCCGGCTTCAGTGAAACCGTCAGCAGTAACAGACGGTGGCCCCGGTTTGGAGTGAACCTGGGAAAGAGTGGAGGAAGTGACGAGTGACGACTCCATTCGATCTCGCGACAACTATTTATAGAGATCAGTCGTTCCAGTATGTCCATATATGCCTTATAGAAACCAGACCTTTAGCAATATGTATGTTGGGTTGCCTAAGTACATACATGTGACACTGCCCCCATCCTAAAACTGATCGTCCCGATCAGTGACATCGCTTCTGTAGGGAGCAAGCCGGTCAAGATGGATGATCTTCGCTTTTGCACGCGTTGATGGATTATATAGCCATACTTCAGGGCTTCTGAAAATGCTTCACTTGGAGTCTTATGGAGGTCTAATCTTAGGACTTGCTGTAGTTTGGCGTCACTGACTGGTACTGATAAATGGTTGCTGCTCAGAGGGGTAGGCTAATCTTACGAGGCGCTCCACATCGGACTTGTTATGGAGTTTCATTACTTCTTTGGTTACGGCATTTCAGTTGCGTCTGATGTCCCTGCTGTAGTTGTTTAGCACCGTTCCTCATTTCTAGGCGGTTGACAAGATGGTGGAAGTCATATTGTTGGGACTCGGGCATTCCTTGGAGTATATCTAGCGCCTCCCCTTGTAAAGAAATTATTAGTGCTGTTGCTTTCTCTGAATCACTCCAGGAATTTGCCTCTGCTGCTGCCCCAAACTGCTTCAAGTAAACAGACCACCACGAGGTCTTCCCATCAAAAGTTGGAGGTGTAATTTTTGATAGTCCTTCAAAGGTTCAATGAAATTCTTTAATGACTGACTCTTTCTTTTCTCTTCGGGAGCTTCCAACGATGCATTACTTGTTAGGATTTCTCGTAGCTACTGAAAACTTCTAGAAAGTTCGATGAATTTGTTTAATGACGTCAAGTTCTTTCTTCTCTTTTCGAGAACATTCCAACGATATATCACTTGCTAGGGTATCTCGTAGCCGATGGAAACTTGCAGAAAATTGGAATATTCGATGGAATTTTTTAAAATTCTCCTCCTCTTCCTATTACTTTTATGTAACAATTTACTGTCTAAATAACACTTCTATTATTAATTAGTTAACACTTTACCACTATATAAACACTTCCTCGCTCGTTTTCACTTTCTATCGCCTCAAACTCTCTAACTCGCACTAACACCACTCGATTCCGCGATAACTATCTACAGAGATTAGCCGTTCTAGAATATTCCAGCATATGCCTCCTAGAAACTTGGTCTACTTTGGCAATATGGATGTTGGGTTGCCTACATATATAGATGTGACAATATTAATTTCAGGAGTATCTACTTTTGAACTCAACAAAATCTCTACATAATAGAGTTGAGTAGTTCATAGTATTGTCAGAATAACAAATGAAGCAACACCAGCTGCTTTCCTTAAAATTTTTGTAGTATAATTTAAAATACCCAAAATTTCTAATTTTGCGCCATTTTTAAAACTTTTGGTTTTCCTTTTGAATCGTAACAAATCCTAAATGCAGTACAGATTCTTTTATCATACTAATATGATAGGACTACCAGTATCAGCATCAATAGAACTTACTTTTCTACTACCTATTGTGTTGTAAGTGGTGTTACAGTTAACGGTACTGGTATAACTTGAATGTTGAGTGTGATCATTAAACGATGAAAACAGTGAAATTGAAAGTCTTTTCGATGCTTCTGTGTTTTTATTTATTGTCTAAATTATACATAGTAACATAATAATAACGTCAGCAACCTCTATGTAATATCGAAATATTAATTGATATTATGCGAAATAATTCTCAATGAATATTTACCCTTTTTTTTATAAAACGTAATAATGTCGAAATCGTACTGGAATTTGAAGTTTTCTGGTTGCTGTGAGCTTGCCATGTGAGTGTCTACAAGTTCATCGAATTTGATTCGTGATTCATCAAATGTTGGAATTTCTACCAAGTCTTCGATATTAAACTTTGGGACAGTATCGTCGACATCATCTACTGCTAAATTCTCCGGCGTTCTCGTTTCCGCTATCTGTCTCACATCCGAATTTCGTAATTGGACGATGTGATGTTTCAGTTCATATCCGTCATCGAATCTAATTAAATAATGAAGAAGTTCGAACTTTTTCGTAACGGTGCCCATTTTCTTATTATTATTGGCGTAGTATCCTGCTTGTACGCGTTCCCCCATACTTAATTATGGAGCCATTTTAATGGGTACGACTGATTTCTGCAATTTCGTGGGTTTAAGCGCGTCGAGCTGGATTCGAATGCGTCTTTGTAGGTTCAATTCAGCTAGAGATTTCCTGCATACTAACAGTGTTGCTCTATAATTGAAAAGAATTTCATGAACCTTTTCCCGTATCCTCAAGGGCTCATCCCTTATTGCTGAAAGTCGGTTTTTCAGAGTTTCGATATTTCGCTCGGCCAACTTGTTGGTTGCTGGATGGCGTGGAGCAATGAATTTGTGAAAAATTCGTACTGTTATGTAAAGCTTTTGAAATTCTTGGCTGCTGAATTTGTGGGGTTGTCAGAGACCAGAACATTTAGAAATTCATGACGAGAAATAATTTCTTGAAGCAGTTCAATGCTGGATGTAGGCGTTGGTACTTGGTTGCACGTTTCTGTCTATATCCACTTAGATTTGGTATTCATCACAATAAGGAAATAATGCTCTTGAAATTTTGCGGCGTAATATATGTGAATCCTTTGCCACGCTGACGCAATTGGGACAAGATCGTACAAGTCTCTCAGTATCTTTGTCCAATACACGTAACGTAAGGCGAGTAGTTTTATCTTGATGGTTCCAATGTGCGTTCGATGCAGCTCAGTTACTATAGCGGCTGGAGAGATGACACATAGACCCCTGGAAACGATGTCCCCGTGTATAGAAAATGTCGATTTTTGATCGTTTTCTTCTCTAATTTTTGTGAAAGTCCGGGATTGAAATTGCATTTATTGTGTATTTTATACCTTATAAGTATAGGTTTCGATAGGAGCTCTAGAAAGACAGTCTGCATTTGCGATGTCGGTTCCCTTTTTGTATTCGATTTTGTAATTAAACCCCTATAGGAACGAGGCGTACCGCTGAAGTCGAGTCACTGTCATTGACGGTAGCTTCGCGTTCTGGTAAAAATTTCTTTATAAAAGCCGATTCCATTAATGGTCAAATTTATAACTTTTGGTTTATTGAAGAGATTTCAACAAAAAAGAAAATTTTATCAGACGCTGAAAAATTTTGGGAGATGCATTTTAATAATATGACAAGTGAAAAATATAAGTAAATCGCCAAAAATAGCTCTTAAATTGTTTCATTAAGGTAATTAGGAGTTAATTGTTGTTACTTACCGTAATCCAGATTTCATAAATATTCCAACTTCCAGCTTTATAAAAAGAATACGACAAAGTACAGTTAAATATAAAATGTAAATTAAGAATTAAAACAAAATACAACAATTAACAAATATAAATGATTAACTTAAATGTACGAATTATTAAACAAGAAAATAGAATGTCAATTTAAACATACAAATGCATTTAATGGCCGCTTGGTGTCGACATTGAACAAAGTATATAAAGTATAAACTGTCCACCCGGAAAGAAAAGCCTTTAAAAGGTATTTAATTGGTTATATCGAAACGTTAATAGTGCATAAAGGCACAATAGTTCGAACTCCCCTAGAAAGATAGGTCGTACACCGAACATTAAAGTTTGCTGGGTACGTTATGGTAGTATTTAAGTTCGTCCACTATAACTATACAATAACTTTAACTTTGTGTTCCAAAAAGTTAAGTTTACCCGGGATAACGATACAGTAGGAGTAATTCTTCATCCAACAGAATTCGTATTAAATAATCTGGTTTACCACCAGTAGTAAAAAAAAGCAGTGATAAAATGGACGACGAACCGTCTCGATCCCGGGTTACCACGACTTAAATACTATCCCAGTCGACTAGATTCCCACTCGTTCAAATTCAAATCTAGAACCAATCATAGCGAATAGATCGGTCACGTCATTCAAAACAAAGCGACGGTATGGACGGTTACTTCAAGACATGAAAGAGTGGAGGTGCGTGTCCAATCAGTATTAGAATTGACGACCTTATGATGATAATGATGTGCTTTTATTGCTCCTATCATAGTGAGTTTCACTTTATCGTGAACCATCCGGCTGTGGTAATATTTCTGTTGGTATATTTGACTGTTAAAACTATTACTACATCTGAAGGTGAGTTTGAAACCTGATAAGGACCATCAGGTTGCTTTCCACAGTGCATTTTAAGATTAACGTGCTCATTGATTTAGGATCCACTAAAAGAAATATTTTAATTCCATATTAGAGTGTTTCCAGTTTTGATGGTAAGTGTTGTCAAAATGAACAGTTACACCTAAATACCACCAACAGTTCGTTAATTGCTAGATAGGCGGTCGGAACAAACGACTCTTGATAGTTATGTACAAAATTTTAAAGATATACTCTTATTGCAGCCTATTTGTCTATTTTTTACCTTTCACGTAGAACACGAAGGAATCTAAATCTATTATAACTGATTGTCAAGCGTACAAGTGCTCTTCCTGTGCCATCTGAACTTCATAGATTTGAAAAGTTAAGCCGCCAGTGTTTCATGACGCCTGCTAGATAGAGTATTCCAAAAAATACGTTAATTTTGCAAGTGTCTGTAAGCTTTGCGTTTCTTTCTTTTAGATAATACAAACAAAAAAGCAGCATCAGTTACATTTACTTATACAATTCTAACTTCAGAAAATTCAAAAGGTTGTAAAACGAGTAGTCACATGGGGTACTGCAGTACTCCAAAGAGTGCAGTTACAACTGTCGTTACTTGGAATACGCAAATTCTTGTCTGCTCTGACGCCGTAACAGTGGCAATGTGACAAGAAAACTATAGAAGAGGTATACAAGCTGTGCCAGCTCAAAGAATAGTTCGACTAAAAACATACGATACAATTACACTATATTGGGATACCTATTCAAATACCCCGCGCGAGTAGCGAAGTTTAAAATTTGGCTAAATCACCATTACTAGCTTTAGATTGTTAAAGCCTTGACTTGTGAAATATTATTCTAATTAAATAAAGTAAAACCCAATCCTATTACAAGAAATATATAAGGAGAATGTTTCTTTCACTTTTCTCAAAAAAATAAATCAAATCAATTAATTCCTCTTGATTAAGCACAATGGCAGCAATTCACCACTTTTACCTATTGAAGTATAAAAAAAAATTAAAAATTGTCACAAATGTAGTAATTGTTGACCATTTCACGACAGTCTCCTAATATTTTTAACAAATACCTTGTCGATTTTAAAAAAATGATGTATAACTCGGAACCTCCAAAGTTTTGATATAAAGAAGTGCTATATAAGATTGACGCAGAATTTAACGTTGAATTTAATGATATAAAAAAATACAAGGTGTTTTATCTTAAATAAGTCCTTTATTGAGGATGAAAGTTTTTAAGAATGGAACAGATTTATAAAAGACAGAATAGTACTTGAAAGTAATATAAATGTTAAAAATTTCCTTTGCAGATAAATGGCGAAAGGCAACCAGATGAAGTATATGAAGAGTTTAAAACTGTCATCTTAAAAATGTTCCATAAAGAAGAATGCCAGCCGGTTCGCTCTTCTTATACATCAACTGAAATGCCTACGGTAAGATTATTAAACTGTACACCAAAACAGGCTTCTAAAGTATACCTTTTATTAATCAGGCTGTAGTCACAGACAGCGCTAACCTTCAACGACCTAAGACACACGTAGTTCGAGTTGCTTCTCCTAGTCACAATTCGCTAACTTCTCCATTACAAAATTGGCCTAAAATTATTTGGATAATTGGTGGACCTGGAAGTAATAAAGCAATTCTTTGTGACCAAGCTGCATCAGTCACCGGGTGGGTGCATATAAGGTAAAATGATTAAATGTTTCCTTTTAAATCATATTTTATAAGTAGTTTAAACTTCTAGCCTTGGCAGATTATTAAGATCCACAGCGGATGTCCCCAGCACTAAACATTCGCAAGATGTTAAGAAAATTAAAGAGTGCATCGTTGCAGGCGAACTAGTTCCACTAGAAATTATTCTTAAAATTGTAGAGTCTTACATTGCTGCAAACGCAAATGCACTTGGAATATTGTTGGATGGCTATCCAAGAAACATGCAACAAGCAATTGAATTTGAAGAAAAGGTATGTTTATTATCAGTGAGTGACTATTATTAAAGAGGTTTATTAATATTTATTCTTAACCTAGTTCGGGCAAAAACCTACTCTCATACTCTTGGACTGTTCGAAGCTTCAATTAGGAAGAGGACGACTTGATGATAGTGTAACCGCTTTTCGAAGAAGGCTAGAAATCTTTCGGCAGTTTTCCTTACCCATGCTGAGGTCTTTAGATAGCGTTGGAAGATTAACTATTGTAAGTAATAAGCAGTCCTGTTGTTCTGTATTTTTTTTACTAGGAGCAGTAAAACAAATAGCTCGTTAAAAAAGATAACTTACATACTTACTTTTCAAATTTTTGATCCCTCACTTTCAAAGAATTGGTGAAAACACAATTATTGGTACGCCGAAACTAAAAATCTGTGTAACATCCGGATTTTATAGGAGGCTTCAAATGTGTCACTTAATATTTAACTTACACAAAAAAAACTTCCCTGCTCGCTGAAAACTTTAGATTTTATCTCAATTGTCTTTTTTCATTTATAGGTAGAGGGTTAATTTTCTAATTTGATACCTCCATTTATTTCCATGTGTGAATATTTTAAAAATTTAAAATAATGGTTTGTGTAACTTCCTTAGAAGTGATTTGAAATTTGCTACTAAAATTTAACTAAACTTGCTAATATATCTTTTAAATGGGACACACTATATTTTCAGATATTTATAGTTCTCTCTTTTTTTTGAGTTGGAAAATCTACAATTGTATGTTCAGATAAATGATAATGAAGAAAATTATAAAAAATGAAATACTAGTTAAAGTATAACATGACTATTTTGTGGCATTGCAATTGGATGGATATTTGAACGAATTTGTTTGACAGCTAAAATAATTTTTATTAGATATTCTTTGGAAGAAAAAAAAGATTAATGTATTACAGTAGAAAATTGATATTTAATAAAAAAAGATTGTTGCACAAAAGAATTTTTAAAAGCGTTTCCAGAAGAAATTTCTATTGTTTTACAAATGTGTATTACACAGGGTGTAACAGAAAAGTGCAAAATATTGCAAATCCCCGTCAATCACAATCAAAGTCATAAAATACTCAAGCTTGAATAATTTTAGCTGGAATTTCGTTTAAATGTTTTTTCAATTGCAATGCCTTCTACTTCCATATCATGAAAAAGTCATGTTTTAATTCAACATCTACTTTATTTTTTATGGTTTCCTCCATTATTACCTTATCTTTATACATTTTTTAAATCAGAGAAAAGAGGGAATTCCAAATAGCTGAAAATATACAGGCTGTTCCTTAAAAAAAGGATATTTTTTGTATTTATTTATTGTTTTTTTTTTTCTAAAATTCAAACCTAATGTGCCACCTTAATATACTGACTTAAATAGAAAAAAATTTGCATGAACACTTCTAATAATAAATATCATCGATTGATAATACAGGAATCCTAAAATTTCCAACACAAAATTTTCACTCCAACCTATTGTATATCTATCCCTACAGTTGTACTGTCTTTAATGGTGTTGGTCGCCTCTTCGATGTACGCATAAATTAAACAGTAGCAGTGACAATGTGTGGCCTTGACTGACTACCTCCCTTCCTAATGTTTATTCGTTCTCTACCTTACTGCTCAAGTTCTGTAGCTTCTCGTTTCCCTTTATAGAAACTGTATATCATTCTTCTAATTTTGTATCTCATTCATACATTTTTAAGTAATTTTAACATCGTGTCCCATCTAACATTAATAAAGCTTTTTCTAAATGTAAGAGTCCTATATGCGCCATCTTTTGTTTTACTATGGTTTTTTTTATTGACCGTAAACCCTCGCCGTTCCTCTATTTCTTCTTAACTCAAATTGGTCTTCTCCTAAAAGTTTTTCCGCCCTTTTTCTTTCCTTCTCTGTACAATTCTAGTTAAGATTTTTGGCGCATGGGAAGTTAAATTAATTGTTCTGAATGTCTCGCACCTATCCGCGCCTCTTTTTCGGTATGATTACTACCACGTTCCGTGTATAATACTCCGGGACTTTTCGTCCCGTAAATGTGACTAACTTGCTTAAACATACGATCTCTAAGAAAAATGTTTAAGATATTAACGAAAAATAAATTTCACCCGTAGCACGTTTAGGAGCCAGACCACCACTTTAACAATCGTTTGGAGTTTTTTGAATGGGCGTTGCATAAACCTCAACAATGAAATTACATTTTGGCAATATACTATTTACGGACGAATGCTCTTTTCACAAGAACGGTCTATTTCAAGACACAATTGCTATTATTATAGCACCGAGAATCCCCATTGGTTAAGACCCGTGGATAATCATCTTTGAACGTATGGGATGACATCATTGGACGACATATAATTGTACTATATTTTTTAACAAGTCTTTGGACAGAACTACATAAATGCATTTTCTTCAAAATGATCCGGAAATCCTCCACTAACTCTAAGACAACAGATGTGGTACAACTATGATGAAGCACCCTCGCATTATGAGAGGAATGTAAGGGAATATTTCGATACACAATTTTCAGACAAACAGTGGTGGTTATGTCGAACATTTAATCTAATTTTATTATTACTACTTTCACAGTTAATTTGGCAAATTGGCATTAAATCTTTTGCATCTACTCGTATACCCTTACTCAACAATTAGCAATTAAACTGAAAATCAAAAACAAAACAAACTCGCCAAACTTTTTAAAACGTCTAACGTGATATCGCGATATTATCGAAAATTTCAAAAAAAGTATAGATTTCGCAAAAATTACTTATCACAGACACTAACACCCTATATTTCAAAAACTGGAACCTTTTGTTTATGAGATATTTAAAATGATGCCAAACACTGCAAACGTCAAATTTTCCAATAAACGTGAGATAACTCCAGAACGGTGCTACCCAGGACCAATAAATGTTAAAAAAAATAATTTTTTATCAAACAAAGTTTCCGATAAGAGTAGCACCAAATCTCCATATTCTAAATCTATTTTCGGTTTTATATCCCCAGCAACCTAACTTTTTTTTCAAACGGAATGCCCGATTCATTATTGTATTTTCGGATTCCTCGTTAAATTTAAATATCATTTTGTTAACCATATGTTATGTCTAAAATTTCCATAAAATCCGCACTAAATCAATAAATAAGATGTTGTAGTATTCTGGGCCATCCGAAACGAAATAATATAGAGATGTGCTATCTTCACAGATAGCTTGTGGAAGAAATAGCCTATTGTTTCCCCTATTAACGCAAGCATATTGTTTTTAAATTCACTGAAATTTACCACTTTCACTGTAAATAGCTTCGAACTGGAATAACTATTTATTTTAGAAGGAATATCATATTTTTATCAGTTCATCAAATGCAAAATTTTATTTCCCTTCGTGCAATATAGAGTTGTTACTATCAGAATATCAAGATGCTTTGGTCATCGATTTGCTTTTTCCTTTTTCCTTTAAACGACTGAGAGTGGAAAATGCTTTATGCTGCATTGAGATGACCGATAGTGTGGGACTCCCGTAATCGGTATACCCACTAAAAAACCCCCTGCCTTGGCTCGGCTGACGCTTCCACTGCAGCATCGCCCTTTCGGGACATTCTGTAATTTTGACTAAGAAACAAAACTTTATTAACTTCCAAAAAAGTAACCCCTCAGAACAGGGGGCAGGGACAAAACAAGACAGCAACTTTGTAAAAAGGAATTTGATCCCAGATAGACAACAAATTTTGAAATTTCGAGCCCAGGCGAGGGCTATCTTCCTTTCGGAGGGTAATACACTATCGAAGGAAAACCTTGAAATAAATACATTAACATGGTGGTACCTACAAGGGATACAAAATGGAGTAAAAATCAATAATGATTGGAACCGAAGCTAGCAGCAAACTTAAACTATGTAAACGTAACAAAATATCACCACTCAAGTAATCTATATATATATAAATGAATTGCTGTTCGTTAGTCTCGCTAAAACTCGAGAACGGATGGACCAATTTGGCTAATTTTGGTTTTGACTTATTTGTGGAAGTCCAGAGAAAGTTTAAAATGTCAATAAATATGAAAGTTGTTAACTATCTTTCAGATTATTTTCTTTTATTTATCGATTGAGGCAGTACGAAGTCTGCCGGGACAGCTAGTATATAATAAAAACAATAACAGATATAAACAATTTAAAACTTAACGGCCTAATATACTCTATAAAACTTTTAACATTACTAGCAATTTAAAGATTTAACTAAAATAGTTAGATAAAACACTTTGTACACTACAAACTATAAACTATTAAAACGTAACAACTGTAAAACATTTCCAACTTGTCAGAACGCACTAACATCAAACACAATGTAAGTAAACAACCTTCACACACTGCAGTACCAATTTGTAAACTAAAAAAAATATAACAAGAGGGTCACGAGTCACAGTACTCGCACCTAAGAGGTCACTAATAGTAATCTAAACACAACATCTTAGATCACTAAGTTGTCAGCACTAAAAACTAAGATCTAACATTTGTATACCACGTTAATCACAAAAACATAAACTCACTAACACAACGAGAATAAATAAATAAGATAAATAAATTTGTAGGCAGATGTTGACTCTTCGTTTGCCACCGACTGGATCGCCCTGTCCTCAATAATTTTGATCTTCATAATTTCCATTAAAATGTCCTGCCATCCTATCTCACAGCCCTTTTTTAACGAGTACACAAAAGTGTTAATTCTTCTCCCACTTTCCTTTCTAGGGACCGAATCTGCTCTCTGTATCTAGGCCAGGTTAGAAAATGCTCCGACGTGTCCGAGGCACCGAAACAGTATACGCAAATCTTTGCAAATATTCTGCAAAGCAGTCATGGTCCGTCAGAAACCTAACCAACTTATTCGACTTGCGTAGAGATTTTATTAATCTCTTAATTTACGCGCCCTTTGCCAATCTATGCCACCACTTACGCCACTTTCTCCACATCCTCTTCATGGCATGTGTATTTCCATCGTTGTAGTTTTCGGTTCTGACCGCCTCTGTTGAGACCGTTCTATATGCTCCACACATATGTAGTGCCATCTTACGTTGACACCTAAACAGCATGTAGATATGCTTCTTATTAGTAAGAAGCGGCTGCAACATTGAGGCACCGTATAACATGGTCGAGAGAATCACTTCAGGCAAAATCCGCCTTTTTTGACGCTCGCTCCCCTTTCCTTGGGAATTAATCTTCGAAACGCCTGCACTTATCCACTGCCAGCTGTAGGTAGTGGTCTTCCATCTATTCCTCGGCATTCTATATGGTGTGCTTTTTGTTTTTTCTTAGCCCTATTGGGTTTTTCCTGGTCACGACTGCCACAACATCGTCTGCGTACACCATGAGACTACAATCCGGGATCTTCACACGCAGTATGTCGTCGTACATGACGATCCACGGGGAAGGGCCGAGTATGCGATGTTCGTGGACACCTCGTCCGGAGCACAAACACTGTCTACGGCAGCAGCATTAGTGCAAGGCTAGTTTAAAGGTCTCTATTCTTCCAGGTGTAATCGTGTATCTCGATCCGACCTCCGGTGTTGGACGCCTCGTCTCCAACCGCCCGTGAGCACGCTACGGTATAGGAGTGCTTTGACCGAACGAACGTATGACTATTCTGACTATTCGGTGATCACTAAGTAATTCAGTGTCTAATACCTTCCACTTTGTTACCCACCTCGTGGTAGGGTATCCAACTGTCCACTTCACATCCACGATAGAGGATCGTCTTCCAGCAATGAAGGTAGGGGTACTTGCCTGGTTTAGCATATTGTCCCCTAACGCTTCGATGAGTTCCTCCAGGCTGCCTCGTGCATCGGTAACAGGGAACCCCAAAGAGTGGAGTGCCGGTTTCTCACCCTTACTACCTCTGGCAGGTTCGTGGATCTAATCACCTGCTCCAAGCTACTCAGGAACGTCTCGAACCAGATATGGTTTCTATTCAGCGAGAAGTAAACTAATACTAACCTGATGCCCCATCCTATCATATCGCACCAGGTTACACCATCGTGTGCGCCGTAGCAGTCGTGAACTGACGATTCTGTGAGTAGTAAGATGGCTATATTCTTAGAGGAATCAGACACCCATTTGCTCTTGGGCAGGTATCGTAGGTTAGGCTCAGATACGAGCAGAACGTTGCACCCCACTTTTTGGTCGCAAGCTGTTGCAATAGCTCCATTGCTTCCCAGCTACGATTATTGTTAAGTTGCAAGAGTTTTATGGGCATTTCCGTTGGTGGATAATCCCTTCGCTATCTTTTTCCTCGTATCTTTAAGCCTGTTTATCATCTCACGGTACTAAGCACACCGCATGCACGGTGGTCTTGCGAGCCATAGGTGTAACATTTCATGTCTGACGTGCAGCTGTTCATCTCGTGATCCCAGCCCCAACCTTGGAAGAGGTCCTTTCCCTCCGTTTCCGATGTAATGCTGTACTCAAACGGGGAGACTCCTCCCTTTCGACCAAAAAGTGGGGTGCAACATTCTGCTCGTATTTGAGCCTAATCTACGATACCTGCCCAGGAGCAAATGGGTGTGTGATTCCTCTAAGAACATAGCCATCTTACTACTCACAGAATCGTCAGTTCACGACTGCTACGGCGCGCATGATGGTGTAACCTGGTGCGATATGATAGGATGGGGCATCAGGTTAATATTGGTTTACTTCTCGCCGTGAGAAACCAGCACTCCAGTGTTTTGGCCTTCTTTGTAGTGATGGCGTCAGCACTCACCGGGTAATCACAATCTTCCTCGTGATATCCCAGACATGCCCCAACTTTGGAAGAGGTCCTTTCCCTCCGTTTCCGATGTAATGCTGTACTCAAGCGGGGTGACCCCTCCCTTTCCTCTTCCTCACCCGACTCGCGCAGGGTGTACGATCTGCCGGATCCGACAGCGTATACAATAATTCCTGGCTATGGGGAAACCTAGCGAGACAATTTTCCAGGTCTATGCCGGTGGTGTTTATTACCACCAAGCAGTTGGCGCCGCCTTTACGTTCACGCCTGGATTCGTCGATCTTGCAGATTTGGAAGCACTTCTCAGGCCTCACCTCTTTTCCGGATTTTTGAGGACTGCCTCAACTTTTTTGCACATATCTCGATCACGATCCTATCCTCGCCGCTTGTACCCCAAGGGACCGTACCTTTGGTGCCTCCTTTGAGTACGTTTGGGTGCCAATCTTCCAAGAATATTTATTGCTGCTTGTGATGATACCCGTTCTCCACCAACTCTTCTCTAAAATTTTCTTGATCTCTTCGTCTTTGAAGCTTTTTGCAAAGGTGTTCTAAGTCGAGGCAGACATCTTTAATATCCCGCTTAACATCAGTTAAGCTTTCTAGAATTCTCGCAAGCTTGCCTACCTTCTTTACCTTCGCGTTGATGTTGTTTACTAATTCCCCGGCTGCTGGATTTTCGCTTTCTGTTGTTATAGTCTGTGATCTCGGTTACATCCGGCTCATCCAAGATAATCACCTTGTCCTTTTCCGTAGTACTTGTGATATACGCGAATATATCTCTTCGTCTTATCTCACGAAGGGCTGCTTCTCCCTCTGATAAGGATCTGCATGGGGGCAATATTTTCGGTAGGGTGCTTCGTTTGAAGAAGAATTTTAGTTCTTCTGACATCTTCGGATGCCACAGATGCCACAATGCGATATTCATTTTTTCTGTACTGACAGTCTTAGGGTAGCTAGGAGATGCAGATTTCACTATTCCGTTTGTAACAATACCGCTTTCTCCTCTTATTTTCCTCACACCTCTTTGTCCTTTGTTTACATACCCGTAGGAAAAATTTCCATTCAATTTCCATTAAAAAAATGCCATTTAATTACTACTGAGAATAATTAATGGTAATAAATGGAGAATTGCCAATGGGATTCCCATTCCCGAACTCAATGGGATTTCCATTGCTGAACGGATTGGCATTTCCATTGCTGAACGCAATGGAAATTCCATTAATGAACTCAATGGAAATTCCATTGCGTTGAGCAAAGGAAATCCTATTGCGTTCCATTGGAACTCCATCAGCATGCTTTTTTTCATAATCCATATTATTTTGTGGAGAATTTGGTTCTTCAGGTACCTGAACCAAGGCACATGCCTGGATGTCTGGCTTTTCATCATCGTGTTTAGATTTTTTTTTTCACTTGCTTCTGATAAAACTACATCACTCTCACAGGTGACTTCGACCTCCTCTATATTCTGGTATGGTTCAAAATCATCAAACAATACTTCTAATGTAGGCTTTTTTACTTGTCTAGGGGTTGTTTAATAAAAGGCTCCGGGTAGTTGAATACATATATAATAAACATAATAATGAATATAAACAGCAAACAGCAAAACGAGTAACAAACAGGAACTAAATATATACAACTTATATACAATATTCAATGTATCGCGTCTTCCAAAATACATACGTCTTCGTGTAATCACCATAAATACGTCTTCCGTCTTTTTTGAGCAAAAATGCTCAACGTCTAAATGAAATATACCGTTTTAATCAAACGTCTTACTACCTTGCTTGTCTCTCACTCTACTGCCGTGGTGGTCCCTCACGTACCCCCAACATGCACGCATAGGTAAAACTAGATTATTGATTTTCCACCACCTAATTGGCAATATCACTACTCTTGCACCTGGGCAAGCAAAAACTGTATCGAAAAAGGCTAATAGTATGTGGCCACTAATGGTTATAATAAACGAATTACCCTATACTATTCGTAAGAATAATATAATATCAGCGGGTTTATGGCTTGGAAATAGTGGATGGATATATTTTTGAGACCATTTAATAATATTCAATTTAAATGTGTACGCATGCAAATATCTCATTCAGAATTAAATAACATACAAACATTAATCACACCTATTGTTAATCGTTTCGAACGAGAC